TTTATTTATTTATTTATTTATTTATTTATTTAGATTCCACATATGAGCAATCTCATACAGTATTTTTCTTTCTCTTTCTGGCTTATTTCACTTAGAATGACATTCTCCAGGAACATCCACGTTGCTGCAAATGGCGTTATGTTGTCAGTTTTTATGGCTGAATAGTATTCCATTGTATAAATATACCACAGCTTCTTTATCCAGTCATCTGTTGATGGACATTTAGGCTGTTTCCACATCTTGGCTATTGTAAATAGTGCTGCTGTGAACACTGGGGTACAGGTGTCATTTTGAAGTAGGGTTCCTTCTGGATATATGCCCAGGAGCGGGATTCCTGGGTCATACAGTAAGTCTATTCCTAGTCTTTTGAGGAATCTCCATACTGTTTTCCCCAGTGGCTGCACCAAACTGCATTCCCACCAGCAGTGTAGGAGGCTTCCCTTTTCTCCACAGCCTCTACCTCTATTTAGTTTCAAAACATTTCATCATGCCAGTGAGACTTAATTTTGAGACTTTTGCTTTTACTTTTAAAGATATCTTTTGAAAATCTTCAGCTCATGGAATTTGCTAGGCAACTTGAAATGGTAAGCTATTTACAGCAACTTGTTTATGCCAAGTTTAAAAAAACCTGTTAAAATGTTGTGCTGTGCCCTCACATCGTAGGAGGGACTGGGGGTCTCTCTGGAGCCTCTTTTTTGAAGGGCACTAATCCTACTGATGAGCGCCCTGCCCTCGTGACCTAAACACCTTCTGAAGGTCCCACCTCCTATTACCCTCATTTTGGGGGTTGAGATTTCAGCATGAATTTTGGGGGCACACATTCACACCATAGCAAATGTTATCAATATGAATAGTTATATATTAATGAATGCTGCTAATAACAGAGTACTAATTTATTGCACATTTATCAGGGGTTGTCAGTATGCTCAGTACTATAAAAAAAGTGTATCATGTATGTAAGCATTAAGACATATTCTTCATTTAAAAAACATAGTAACAGGGTTATATACTCTGGTTTCTCTTCAGATCACATAAATCTTTCACCTTTTACTAAAAAATATAGTAACAGGGTTAGAGAATGAAATGAAGGTGGTTTTGACAAATTTATAGCCTGAAAGTTGGCAAAGGAGAAAAAAAGAATGTCATAATATTCCAATGTACACATATTTATTTCTATTTTTATTTTTGGGGGGTAGGGGAAATTTCCTTTTTAAAAAAATTTGCATTCTTTTTTATTGAAGTATAGTCAGTTTACAATGTTGTGTCAATTTCTGGTGTGCAGCATAATGTTTCAGTCATACATATGCATGCATTTATTTGTTTTCATATTCTTTTTCATTATCAGTTACTACAAGATATTGAATATAGTTCCCTGTGCTATACGGTAGAAACTTGTTGTTTATCTATTTTATATATAGTAGTTAGTATCTGCACATCCTGAACTCCCAATTTACCCCTTCCCACCCCCTTTATCCCCTGATTACCGTAAGTTTGTTTTCCATGTCTGTGAGTCTGTTTCTGTCCAATGTAGAAATATTTTTAATCTTTATGAAAGATGCATTATTTCATTTTATTTTATATTTATTTTCTTTGGTGGGGGGAAGTAATTAGGTTTATTTATTTATTTTTAATGACGGTACTGGGAATTGAAGCCAGGACCTCATGCCTGCTGAGCACACACCCTACCACTGAGCTATACCCTCCCCCTCACTGAAAGATGCATTATTTTAATAATTATAGTTGAAGTCAAATTTTAAAGACATGGTGCAAATCTGATTCAGTAGTTGGTAGTTTTGAGGATGTTTTTCTTTTTCCTCAGCAGAGGGCATGATCCCTCTTCAGTGGGATCGTTAGTTTTCAGATGTTCTCTCAAAGACAAATTAAGCCAAGTGCTCCTTGCTAAAGCTGTAGCCCTTCAGGTGTTGTGATGTAATTATTCTATTAAATTACTTTATTTTCTTAAATGATCATAAATAACTGTAAACTACCGCACACTAGCAGCACACTTCATTTTTATTTTTTGTCTCTTCCTTATTTTGACTTCTGACTTTGAGCTCTTAAAAGCAAAAGGCTTTGTTTGGAGGAGGCATTCTTCTGAAAAAATATACTAACATATAGGACAGATGCATGCCATATCATGGACTGAATCTAAAGTGCTGCCTCAGAACTTTTCCTGATCTTTGAGTGTGACACAGTGAGGAGGGTGTCCAGTTGGGATCAAATTTCTTGATCTAAGCCCTTTATACACTGGTGAAATTCATTTCTGTGAAAACAAGCAAACAAAAAAACGATTGCGTTTGTAGGCTTTAAGACTGAATTAGCAGCTTATTTCTCAGGTGTAAAGTTGATTGCACAGATTTCACTAGACCCTCTCTGTTACCTGCAACATCATGTGTATTTTAGACAGTTACAGTTTTGCTGCCTAAAAGAGAAATAAAATATAAGAACACCGCCATACCCAACATGGCACAAACTAAATTCTGTATTTTTAATCCTCATTGCTACCATTGCCGTGAGATTTCTGCTTACAGAATTTTGAAATTCACCATTGTATTATGGTTTGACAGTGACTGGTCTGTCTTTCCCCCTCCCCAGTTTAAGAAGTGCCGCTCTTCTCATGCACATACGAACAACTTTGCAAAGTCCGTCGTCAACCTTGTGGATTCTGTAAGTATCCTGGTTTTCTTGAACCTGTTTCTCCGAGACGGAATGCCATATCTCTGTTTGCTTAACTTGTTGCTTTAGTCCTTTCTGGGGCAAAAGTAACAATGCTGTCCTTAAGCTCATCTGGCTAAGAAACTGTGGAATGGTCTGCTTCACAAAGAGTAGTGTTATCAGAGTTTTAGGGGACTGTTGAGTTATTCTTGGAATCCCAAAAATGCATTGACGTTGCTTCTACGCGTTATTTAGGTATTATTGTCGCCAGAGTCGATAGAGGACAAAAACAGTGAAAAAAATTAGCTCCCAAAAAGTATAACATAAACTTGGCAAATGAGACTTTGTTAATAGTAATCAGTTGAGCTTATTGTCTTAAATATATGACAGAACTAATAGATTTAGGTGGATTATGTTTGGAGAATATGAGCAATACAATTTTTTTTTAAAAGAGCCCAAATTTATTTTCCTAGTGTTCCCATAAGAATGGGACTTTATTTCTAGATGACAGAATTAAGTGCAGTCTCAAAATAAAACTAATTTGAAACAATAAAATATATAACTTCTTACAAAGGCTTCTAATCTATAAATCTTTCTTACTGATATTTTTTTCCCCTCTTCTGATTTTGTGAGTTACAGAGAATGATGGTTAAGATTTTCCTCCTTTTTCCTGCATTAGACAGGAAATCCATCAATGTGAATATTGTTCATCATGTTCCAATAAATAATTCAATTTGATTAATCATAAATTAAATATAGCCAACTGTTTTGTGTATTCTAATGTAAAGTGCTATTTTGTTCAGCTAAATATGTATTTATCTGATATTTGTTGTATGTTCCCTCCTAACTGGGAAAAAATGTTATAAATTGCTTAATATCTAAATGATACTTATTTTCTCCAAAGGACTGCCTTCTTTTCTGCCTTTCAAGTAGTCCAAAACCCTCCAATCATGTAAACATATGACATATAATACCTGGTAGGCAGAGCTGGGCAGCATAATATGGGTAAAGAGGAATGCAGTATCGTATAGAATTAAGATTGAAATTCTTAAAGTTAGTTATTATCTGGTTTATTAATTTTTTTCATTTCAGCTCTTGACAGTCTTTTCAAAGGAAAACTATAAGTGAATATGGAAAAGATAATACTAAACACAACTTTCCCCCTGCCCAAGCTGTTTACTTGGTATAATCTCTGTATTTGTCATTTCACCATGATTGAACAGAATCACATCTTGCAAAGTGTCATTTCTATTTTCGGTTACTGTACAAGGTTCTGAAGCTGACCGACTAATTTTTTCAAAAAGATGTAACACTGAACTTACTCCTTGTTGTAAAATCATTGTAGCATCAGCTTGATTTAGGCACGGGGGTATTTCCTTTCTGTAGTGTGTTCTCAGATCATCCATTATTTTCTTAATTAGCTTGAAAATAGGACGAAATGACAACATTCATTGAAATTGCTTGTGTGTGTGAATTATTTAGCTACTGGACCAAAAGGAAAGAGAACAGAAAATTGTAATTTAAATATTATGAGTGGTATGGATAATTTAAGTTTGCTCTCTCCTCTTTTGGCCTCAGAGCCTTGATTCTCTTCCAGTGTTAGTTTACTTTTCATATAACAAGGCTTCCAAGGGCAAGCCAGCCACAGTGTTAGTGCTTGTCCAAGGATTTAGTGATCCGTTCCAGTCCTGCGGCAGTCACTGGTCATACCGCACTCACTCAGAGCTGGTGCATCAGGCTCTAACCTGTTATCTCCTGTGAGGTTTGAAAGGGTGATTTTCTGAACCTTGTTTTGAATTTATGTCCAGACTGTAGAATCGTGCTGCCCCTCGCATATGTCCCCTAGTGAGATGCCTGGCCACTACATCTGTGGATTGGAGATTGAAGTAACTTTTTAGGAGAGGCTGAGCTGTGTGATTGTTCTTTCTTTCTTTTTGCTCTTGGAAAAGAGAAAGGAAAAGAAGATTCTCCATGATGAGCTAATTCTGACCTCATGTTCTCCTCTCACCTCCCCTCCTGTCCTTCCGCTGACTCTGAATCACTGATTGTGCATGTTTGACCCAGTGTTTTCCTCCTGCACCTGTCCTGTTGTATACCCTCAGATTTACAAGGAGCAGCTTAATACCAGGGTTGTCCTGGTGGCTGTAGAGACCTGGACTGAGAAGGATCATATTGACATCACCACCAACCCCGTGCAGATGCTCCATGAATTCTCCAAATACCGGCAGCGTATCAAGCAGCACGCGGATGCTGTGCATCTCATCTCGTACGTACCTATATCCCTTGGCCTCAAGTTGATCTTTATCCCTTTATTGTATCAGTTAGGTTATCTGTCAATACAGCAATCCTGAACAAGATTGAGGTTGATTCCTCTGTTACATAAGAAGCGCAGTAGTAGGCTGTCCAGTGTAGGGATGGTGGTTCCACAGTCATAAAATCTACTTTCATAGGACATCCCTACCTTCAGACCTGCCATCCCCAGGGTCAGCTTATGATTCAGGACAGCTGCTGGCACCCCAGCCTTCATCACAGGCAGCAGGAATGCCAGGCAGGCAAGGAGGAGTATGGAAGGGTCCTCCTTCCAGCTGAGTTAGCTTCTTTAAAGCAGATTTCCTGAAAACTTGCACACAGCAATTTCACCAACAAATCATTTGCTAGATCTTAGTCACAGTGGCCACACTGAGCTGCAAGAGAGGCTAGGAAAGGTAGTTTTTGAAATTAAAAATTTTTTTTTTATTGAAGTACAGTTGATTTACAATGTTGTTTTAATTTCTGGGGTAGAGCATAGTGATTCAGTTATACATATACATGTTCCTGTCCATATTCTTTTTTACTGTGGGTTAATATAAGATATTTAATATAGTTCCCAGTGCTACACAGTAGGACCTTGGAAAGAGAGTCTCTTGAAATGAACTATTGAATAAAATTGATGTTCCATCACTAAGGAAGAGAGGTGCCTTGCTTACTTCTGATACCAGACGTTGTTCCCTTCCCCATTCATGGCTCAGCTGTTTTCAGACAGTTCTCTAAGGCTCCGTCCTGGAACCAGACCCACCAAAGTCCTCCTTCCTTTCTTCTCAGCTGTTACTCTTTACTTTTCTCTCAGTCTTTAATCAGCAATTTACAATCATCAATCTTTTGTCTAACTGCTAGATATTCTCCACTAGAAAAAAAGTCAGGGGCTGCGGACTGTTTATCTTTGTGTCCAATTCCTGTATGCGATGCTTAGTTAGGTGCTCAGTTGATGCTCATTCAACTATTTAGTGGAAGTCTAAACGTATGTGTGATAACCTACATTTAGAGGTATTTAAAATACAGTTTTGGGTTTCTTGAAGGAGGGTTGGTTTGGGATATTCAGTGTAGGAGAGTAGACATACCTGGGGAGAGTTGAACTGTAATGGTCACTCCATTGGTTTCCTAACAGCACTTATTTTTTTAAGGCGTGTGACATTCTACTATAAGAGAAGCAGCCTGAGTTACTTTGGAGGTGTCTGTTCTCGCACAAGGGGAGTTGGTGTGAATGAGGTAAATGTTACCAATTTTCCTAAAGTAGAGCTTTATCTGTACATCTGATCTCTTTCTTCCCTGTGGCCTAGTTTACATCCCTTCTCAGGCCTGTTTAGAATGATAATGACGCTGAGACTATAGTGTGAATGGTTTGTATTAGTAAATAGAACCCAAAGTGGTCTTTGATGTTAGAAAAGAGATATTGTTTCATTTCACAATGATAGCCTTTCATATTTATCAGGCCAACGCAAGCCAAAGAATGGCCTGGAGAATTTTTGGCGTCTGTAGATAAGTTTTCATGAACTTGTTAATTCTTTCTCTGTAACTTTTTTTTTAAAGTTATTATGCTCTTCTGCCCATGTTAGGTTTAACACACCCAAAAAGTCAAACCAACTCAATCTAAATCTAAAGCTTGGTCAATAGCTGACTATATTAGACCAGGTCATCCCAATAGCCATCCTTCAGTGGAGACCTCGCTTGACAGATTTGTAGTAAGTTGAATTTATTCTTGGTTTGGTATGAGTTGAAATGGGGCACAGCCTTTTATGACTTGTATTTTATGTTTCCACGTGAGAACGCCAAGTCCTGAGAGATGCCACGTAGTAAGAGAGGCTTTCTGCTTCTTGGGCCCCATTGCAAGGAAGAAGTGATCGGGAGCATGTGCCGTCTTTGGATGCTGTGAGGCTCTACTTAGGGAACTGAGATGTTATGTGGTAATGATTAAGAAATAATAACTAGCTTTGTGCCCTCTCTCAAATGTTTCCCACACACTTTCAACTCTGAAAAACAGTATGGTCTTCCAATGGCAGTGGCACAAGTATTATCGCAGAGCCTGGCTCAAAACCTGGGAATCCAATGGGAACCTTCTAGCAGAAAGCCAAGTATGTACACTGACCTTCTTACTTTCATGTGCCATTCTGTCTGTATAATGCATGTCCAGTCAATAAATAAATATTTTTCATTCCTAAGTCGTAATAGTTTAACTGTAGTGTATCTCCTTCCTCTAAACAAGTGATAAAATGAGCAATTTAAGGTAATTCTTAATCTGTGTGAGTTATAGAAATGTCCCTTTCAAAATCCTTAAACTCATACGCAGTTTCTCAGGGCATGGTCAACTCTTTCTCACACTGCAGGATGTTGGGGTGGGTGGAGGTGAATACGTTCTAACCAGCTGAGTGTAGATATGTCAATGAGGCTCCATCACAAGTACTGTTGGAGAAGAAAATAGCTTAGGTCTACAGTCAAAAGGAGCTCAAACTCTCATTAAACTTACCCACCTGGTACCATCAGAGGCCAGTCATAGAGGATAACACTCCTCTACTGGGCAGGCAGGGCCAAGAGGGAATAGAAACAGTCACAGGTCCCATCCAGTAGGAAAACATGGCCACTGAGTGCTAGAGGTCACTCTTCTCGTTAACCAGAAGAGAGGCAGATGGAAAGACAGGGCTGAAATCCCAGTGGCAGAGTGGCAGAAAGGCCCACAGTAATTTTAGGGGGTCCATAAAAGTTTTTAATTTCTTTTAAAATCAGTATAAAATTCAAGCTGGATTATAGTCCTCTTTATACCAACACAGTAGTAAAATATAATTTCTAATACATTTTTGTGGCAGAAGGCAAAATGCCTAGCACACACATAATATGATCCTGTGGAAAGAAGACTGAGGCATTCTCTCAGGCTAGTCTCTTACATGAGAATTGAGTAGAAGTCCACTCCCCTTTCTGAAAATATCAGATGCCAGGAGTAAAGGTCTCCCCTCTCCCCAGTCTCCTCAAAGAAAAAAGGACAAAAATCCACCTTAATATTATCCCATATTTTAATACTTCTTTGACCACTATCAAATAATTGTCATTAATGCTCAGTGTTATGGGAACTTGAAACAAAATATACATCCAGGGTCTTTGGGTTCCCTTTAAGGGCATAGTAAGTCATCACTTTATAGGTCCATTGAGTTTGGTGTCATTTCGCAGATCTCCACAAACTTTCATATATTAATACCTTGCTCAGAGTATTTGCTTTCCCAGGGAAACATGTAATACACATTAAAGGAGGTGATTCAGGTTTCATTGGCTGGCATCTATGCTTGAAAACCAGAAAGAAGTAGGACCGGGTTTATGGCCTTGTTTGAAAACCCTGGAGCTGGAAGGAGGCCAGTGGTGGGGTCAGCTGAGAGATGTTACTGAGTTGATGATGGACTAGGGTAGGAGGTAGGGTTCATTACTAAAGCTTGACATAGTTCCTTCCTTCCTAAAATTATTTATTCCTTTGTGAATCATTTGTTTAGGTAGATTTGTTCTGAACTTTGAATTTTGAAAAATCTATTTGGAAGTCTTTCTTTAAAAATATCTTTGTCTATCATAGAAAAGAGAATAGGAAAAAATAAATGAAAAGGACAGCCCATCACGATATCCAGTATGTCCACCTATGCTATCTACATTAAGTTTATGATTGTTATTTAATTTAGATGGTTTTACACTTCTATTTTAGATTGCTGTCTTTTACTGAACCTTTAGTCAAGTCTCTGGCTGATCCTTGCTTTGACTCTATCAAATTAAATTCTCTTCTTTAATGTCCAGTGTGCTCTGTTAGCAGGACTTCAATGAGGACTCATTGCATTTGCACAGGAGAGCTTTGCAGTTTCCCAAAGAGCACACAGGCTGCCATCTCATGTGAGCTCCAGAACCACTCTGGGAGATAGGTAGAGAGATGCATTCCCATTTTAGAGGTGGAAACACTGAGACCCAAGAAATGCTAAGTCACTTGCCTATGAAACTCTCAACAGGTAGAACTTGGGCTAAACTCAGGCTTTCGGATTTCTAGACCAGGGTACTTTTTTATTAAACATTGAAACTAGAAACTTAATTGAGTTCTCTGAGTTGTAAAAATGAAGAGAGGCACAACTGTATTTCTTGCAGCTGTTATCTTATGAACCAAGCTACACTGTTGGAAAGGATTAAAAAAATGTTGATTTAAAAGAAATAGACTTTGTTTGGTGAGACTCCTCATTCTGTACCTATTTGACATGAAATTGGTGATAAGGAATTATTTCAAGAGCTGCCATGCAAATTAAAGATGTGACTTTTGTTGTTTCCCTTCTCTTCTGTTGCTTTTTGTTGTTTCATTGGACTAGAATGTGACTGCACAGAATCCTGGGGTGGCTGCGTCATGGAGGAAACGGGGTAAATTTTCATTGTCCATGTATTTGATATAAACCTTGTATTTAAACTGCTGCATATAATTAGATACACAGTCTCTCTGGTACTGGTCTTTTAGGCTAAGCACTTAGTATAAATTCGATAATTCAGTATTTCATATGTTTAAAAATGAAAAGGCTAATTTACTTTATATTTTAATTTTTTATTCAAAGTTGGTGATAGGAGTAAAATAAAGTAACCACTTCTACTTCTCTCAACCCTTAAAGGAAACACATGATTAAATGCTTCTAAGTTTAGTGGAGGCATGAATTTTTTAGTACACTTCGGATAAAAGCTGGTGATCTGTCAGTGAAAACCAATTTAGTCATCAATTTACATTTTAAGGAACTCATAAATAGACATGTTTACTGTAATAAAAATGGTACTATACTGCTTATAATCAATAAAGCTTTTTTAAAAAAAATTAAGACAGATTTATTGTGTCTAAATTAGGTAGTCTTCTACTGATAGGCATTTGAGCATTTCCGCACCTAACTCCCCTCTCCTGTTGTGGATACTTTGGAAACTAGAGCAGCTGCCCCCTGGGTTGGCGCTGCATCTGTGAACCAAGGCCTGGAAACATTGCCTTCTTTCCCAGGGACCCCTTCCCCACAGGAGCCGCTGCCCCAAGGCCCCCTGAGCTAGAGCCCACACCTAGTAGACGGAAGAGGTTTCCTCACTCACGTGTCTCTCCTACTTCCTCTGCCCAAGCCAGACATCTGCTCAGCACATCACCATTTCTGATCACGCCCCAATCCTATGAGCCCCAGTTGCGGAGGCCCTGACCTACTTACACACAGTCCCTTCCTTTTTCTTTTTCTCACACCAGGAGCCCAGCTCGTGGGAACAGGAGGAGTGTGAGCACGAGGGCTCGAAGCGGGAGCCAGCCATTATGCCTGCTAGTTTAGAACACACGTTCCTAGAAGTGTGGTTTAAGCTTGAAGCTGTCCACTTTCATGCTCCCCTAACTAGGGTACCATAGTTCAGCAACATTATGGCTTAAGCAGGCTTTGTTGAGGACTCTTATAGGACGGTAACACCATTTGTAATATTGGTTCTCTCAGGAGAGGTCTTCTGTCTTCTAAACTTCCAATTTCTAAATGAGTTTTTAGACTAACCACCCATAGGACAGAATAAAACTGTTTAAAGTTAATATGTTTTTCTCAAGTATACGTCTCTGCATAGTTCTTGTAAGAGATCACTACCCTCATACATCAGGAAATATAAAACTATCAGACTGCATCCTAGAATAAGTGACCTAGAACTCTCTACACTGACAAATATGTCCAAGGAATCAATGCGTGATTCAGTTTAACCTTGACCACATGTATAATATTCCCCCATGTACTGGCGTAGTGATAGTAATTAATTAACCCACAGAGAGGTTGATATTATAATCCTGCTAAATCATGAATATCACCAAACAGTATTTGAGGTTGAGAATAAGGAGCTGTTACCTAATGCTAATTCAGAAGGAGCCTACCCTAACTCTGACTTGGCTGTGTGTATACGCTGAAAACATACATAGTCTAACTCAGCTCTTTAGGGTTTCCTTGTTTACCTCAGTTGTGCTGCTGAAGCCTGCATTATATAATCTTTAACCAGTGGACCTTCGCGATTCCCTCCTCCAAAGTAAAATCTAGAGATCTGGTCATGATGGGAGAGTAGAAGGACCGTAAGCTCACCTCCTCTCACGAACACAGCGAAACCGCAACTAACTGAACTGAACAACCATCGATAAAAAAGACTGGAGCCTACCAAGAAAGGTCCCACACCTGGAGACAACCCAGAGGGAACCAAAGTAAAATCCAGTTGGTTTCCGAGCTCCTTTTACGCAGGACAGAGGCTAAAGAAAAGTGCTTGTCTTGACTGAGACAGGGCAAATAAAAGTGACCGCACTTTAATACACAGCCTACATGAAGGAGTTTTGTGATGAACTTTTCAGAACCTTTTCGAAGCCTGAGCACAAAAGGGCTTGACGGCTGAGGGGGCTGTAACACGGCCCCCAAATCTGTGATTTTCCTTGAAGAACTATTTTTACAAGCTCTACCACACACACTTACTTGGCAGTTTGAACAGAAGTGCCTTGTCAAAATTTGTGTGGGATCATCTGGATCCACAGTGATCATTTTGTTCCAGTTTAAGGGATTTAATTTTCTTCGCTGATGACTGCTTTTGGTAAATCATTTATGTAATCAATTCTTTATTTCCTCAGGGTATCCCATTCCAGAAAGTTCTCAAAATGCAGCATTTTGGAGTATAAAGACTTTTTACAGAGAGGGGGTGGAGCCTGTCTTTTCAACAGGCCAACAAAGGTTAGTAACTTAGAAAGTGCAGTTGTTTCTCCAATTTTTTCTTACAGTGGAACTATGCCAAATGCCAGATACTTGTCTTGGGAAGCAGGTTTCTTTTCAATCAGATTAATACTTAGTTACAGAAGTCTTTATCGTGTTGAGGATTGAGTCCTGTTTAAATGAATGACAAGACCATCATTTCACTGTTCTGAAGCTCTGGTGTTTTGGTGCTAGCTGCACCCCGCCTCAGCTCTCCCCTCCAGAAAAACACAATCCTTCAGTTAAAATAGCTTTGAAATGTTCGTGTTAGTGTTTTCACCCTGCTGCTAAGAGGTAATAGTTTAGATTAAGCTATATAACTTTAGCCCATTTCTCTGACAAAAATTCTGTTTCCCCTTGGCATTCCCTCTAGGGGTGTAATAACTTCTTGGCCTTTCCTTCTCTCTTATTTCTCTCTCTCTCCTTCTTTTTTTCCTTTCTCTCTCTCTCTCTTTTCTAAAATCTAGCCGAGCCAGAATTCTTAAAGTCACCAGATATAGATCTTTTGGATAAGTGACTGTGGACCTAAAGTAGCATGTTTGGAGTCCAAGTTGCTCAACAGGCAAAAAGACAGGACTAATACAAATTAGCAGATGGCATAGAAATTCTAACATTGCACATTTCATATTTCCTTTTAAGATGCTACATCATAAGTCAAATATAGTCCATTTGCTATACAGAATGTTTAATATTCTGCAAATTGAGAGAGCAGTGAAATCCTGTTAGCCTTAAAAAAATCAGTGACTAATGTGGATAACTGACAGAATAATTTATTGCTATCCCCATAATTAAATGATACTGCTAAATTAGGAATGATACTTTGATGCCTGACATCTGTATAAAATCTCAGTAAGGCTGCAGAGAGAGGAACAGGAATTTTAAAGTGACCTAGCATCTTAAACTCAGCCACCTGCCTTTCATGGCATTGATCTCAATGCCTCAGAAACCTGAAAACTTCGGAGTGTTTAAAATGGGTGCAATGAGGAATAATGAATTAATGTGAGCTGCTGGCATTTCTGAATTAATGTACATGGCTAATTTTACCTGCCTTGCAGCTTACCAGCTAATTATAAGCATCATGCTAGAAAAAAACAAGGCTGAGTTGTTTGGAAATATTAAAACCTCTAGTGTGTGTATAAGGATTCATCACTACACTTCTGAAATTGCTTGTAAATAGGAAGAAAATTATTCCAATAACTTGGAAAACTAAATAAAAATAGCTGTGCATTTTCAATCTTAAAAGTTAGTGAATATGGAACTATTTCTTTGTAAACAACAAAGTAGAATGATTTTTTAAAAGCCCTTGTCAATTCCTGTGGAATAGTTTGTATGTATGTATCAAAGAACTGACTTTTTAGTCAGTGAATGTATGTATGCATGTGTTATTTTCACATTATCCATGTGCGTCTTTTCTGTGCTCTGGGAACCTTCTTCACTGCCATGTTTTCTGTCTGGTTTGTGACAGTGACCTGTCTCAGGATGGAAGAACAGTCCTGAGAATGAAATCCAACAGCTGGTTACACGGGAGGCCTGACGTAGAGCCCTGCTCGTGGTCCAGCCTGCCCTTCCCTTTTCCATTTTCTCCTCCCTGCTGATCGAAGTATCACAGAGATGAGGACTGGTGATTTTAGTCACTGGAGTTTCCCATGGGGAAGCCGCCACCCAAGCATCCGGAAAACCTTCCTTGCTTCTGATACCAGTTTTCTTTTTCTGGAAGTAGAAGGAGGATCAGGTCTTTCTGGGGTAGACTCAGTGGAGGGCAGCCCTTCCATGGGTGTGTGCTGCTGCTGGGAGAGGAGTCTCTTTCTCCCTCTCATATACATGGCTCTGAGCTTCTGGGCGGGGATGTCCCGGTCCAGCCTCTACCTAAGTGTTATGGACATACACAGAGAAGTCTTGCCCCAGGTGATGGGGAATAGAAATATTTCTTATTAATAATCAGCTGCCTCAACAATTGTTCGGTAGTGTAGTTTATTTGGCCAGCAAGTTCATAGCACCAGTAGGGTGGGTTATTCTAGAAATTTGACTCTTCTATTGCTCCAGGAATGACTGAGAAATCTCTATACCTCTGTGTGTAAGTCTGCACATTTACTTAATATGCTTCAGGCAGTGCCAGTTTCTTTTCAATGAGAATGATGGGCATGGATTTCCAGCATCATTTTTCCCCTAAGTTTATTTGCATTTATTTGATGCTGTATATCACATTCAGCTGTGACTGAAGCATTTTTATCTTTTTGACAGTTTTTATATCTTCTCAGCTGCTTAGATATAAATCAGCAAATTAGGTATCTGTGAGCCTTATTAGCAATGCATTTTAGCTCCATTAGCTAATATGAAAAGTGATCTATTCCTCTTGACAGCTTATCTCTATAAAAAGTAACTCTAATGATAGAGGTCATCTCTGGAGCCTACCACCAGGGACTCCTCCAAGAACTATTACCCCATTTAAAATCGGTTCTTTAGAAGTGTTATTAATAAATGAACAGTGTTTCTCACACAGATATATTTGTAAGAGGCCATAACAACCCATCATAGAAGGGTATCACGTGATAGCTGATTATAGGGCTGGGTATGTAGCCTGACTGGTGTGTTGATTTTCTGTGATAAATTAAAATGTTCTCCCTTTATCTTTCTAATCCCTTTCAGCTGTTTGAGCCCACAGAATGTGGAAATGGATATGTAGAAGCTGGGGAGGAATGCGATTGTGGAATCCATGTGGTAGGTATAAAAGATCTTTTCTACCTGGCAACGTTAATCAATAAATCTACCCAAATTCTGTGGATTCTAACCTGAGTAAACAAGTATGGCGTTAGTGAGAAGCCTTCAGTGTCATTCACTGTGGTCTTACTGCCTTTATTTCTGAGCTCTGTCATCAGTACTTAATCCTAGCTCAGACACGGTAGAATTAATTACGTCTTTATGGCCCTGTCTGAAAAGACCTAATGGATTCTTCTAATCAGCTTCCCTATCTCTTAAAAATTCATAGTTCATATTCATCCTGGACAAGTTTTATGAAATCATGAAAATTCTTTCTGTGTTGTATATTATTTCTGTCTTTGTAAAACTAGGTTGAGTATTAAGACTGTAATATAGCTAACCGAGGATAGGGCGCCTGCTAAAAATTAAGTTTGCTTCTTGGTAGAGATGCCCTTTCTGAGATCATACTTTGCTGAGAAGCATAGCAGGAAGGACTCTCTCAGTGCTTAAAGTGATTAACTCCTAAAATATTTGCTTACTATTAAATCTCCTCATGTGGGTTATGCTGAGTCACACATGGAGGGACTGTTGAAAGACCAGCAGATGGGTTTCCTACTTACTCACTGAAGTGTTTTCTCCAGGAATGCTATGGACTGTGCTGTAAGAAGTGCTCGCTCTCCAACGGGGCCCACTGCAGCGACGGGCCCTGCTGTAACAATACCTCCTGTCTCGTGAGTTCTTTGGCAGTTCCGTCTTTCTTTTCATTGACACATTAGCCGAATATCGCAAGGCGTGCATGGAGCATTTTTGTAACTTCTCATAAATTTGCTTGACCCTTTGCATAGTATCCTGGCAACTTTAATCAAGAAATCGGCCCAAATTCTGTGGATTTTAACAGTGATCATTACTACGATTCACTACCAACCATTGTCAACTGAGGTAAAACGCACAACCTAGAAGCTGAGAGTTACGTTTTATTATACATTTCTGAGGACTTAAGCCTGGGATGACAGCCTCTCAGATCACCCTGAGGGACTGCTCCAAGGTGGCAAGGTAGAAGCCAGGATACATGAGTTTTTGCAACTAAGACCAGGTAGTTGGAACATCAAAAGATTACTGTTAATTAAAGAAAACCAGATATCTCAGGTTAAGGAATTTAGTGCTTTTTTATGTAAGGGAAGGTGCAATTCTTATGGTCCTTTTCATTATATGCCCTACTTATAACATGTTTCTTTAAAACTCACCCTAATTTATTTTAGACCCTGAGCATAAAACCTCGTGCTCATATTTTCACATTTAATTTTTAAAATCCCTTGTAAAGGCAAGAAAGCTAGATAAGGAAGTAATATGTGTATGTATGTATGTATATGTGTAGGTGCACAACTTGTGTGTGTGTGTACACATAGCTGCTTCCATCGTTAGAGACCCTTCCAGTTATTTTTAAAAAGTCATTTTAAAATCTTCCATTTTTCATCTATAAAACCTCTAATATTCTTTAAAACCATAAAATTATATGATTTTTTTGTATTCAATACCAAAGGGGTTTTATGTATGTAGTATTCTAGAAGATTCTAGCTTAGTTTGTACTTGCCTTATATTAAGCAACCAAATTATAAATTGCTTGAAGATGATGAATTCTTTCCTTCATCTTTTTTAACCACCTGCCCTTCCTAGACAAACAAAATTCCATGTATTCAGTAGACATTCATTGGCAGCACTGAAGGGAATTCATATGAATTAAGTGAAATCGGATTGTGTGTATTTAGCTAACGCTAGGCTAGTATCCAAGCTAATAGGTAAATTAGTTCAGGTTGAGTGTGCATATCAGTCTTCAGAGAGAGCCTAAATGTTTATATTTTACTGATTTGCTCTTTTGTCTTAAGCCACCCCAGTGTTTCTTCTTTACATAATTGCCATTACATTGATTTCCAAAAATAATACTCTGAGATAGTGGATTTTGAAATCTGAACATTTAATGCCTTGGTTAATGATTCACGTTTACTACAGAGAGTGGTATTTGGGCATTGTCTCTATTCTGGAACTATCTTGCTAATTCACAAAAAGAGTTTGGTGCTGGCTGTGAGAGGGTGTCATGGTTGTTGGTGACTATGAGAATGTTAACTCTTTGAAATGTTAATTCATACTAGTTCCTAATATTGAGTTTTGATTTGCAGTTTCAACCACGAGGGTATGAATGTCGGGATGCTGTGAATGGGTGTGATATCACTGAATATTGCACAGGAGACTCCGGCCAGGTATGGCACACTGAGTTCTAGGTAATACATCTGACTTACAAATACCTATTTTAAAGCTTTCAGTTTGGATTACATGTGTGGATATAATTCGGTTCCTTGTTTTTTATTTTGTTTTGCTTTGTTTTCTGGTAATTTTTAGCTCTCCACCATGCCTTTATTTTAGGGACGTGTATTGTGGTTTTTGGCACCTAAAAATCTCTTTTCTTTCAAATTTCCCTGTCATAATTAGTTCCTTTTATATCGTTTATATCCAACTAATTTCTTTTTCTTTCCTGATGCCCACATCTAAAACAGGACGTTCACACTGCTAAAACACTCATAGTACAATTTTCAGTTGTTTTAAAGCCACAAGACCCTGTGTTTTAATAGAGGTTGGAATGGAAGCCCAATGTGGAGAGCTGGGAAGAATAGCACTGCTGTGGTTGAACTGGGATTAGGGGTAGAATCCCCCTTTCTCAGCTCTGTCCCTATCTCATCCCACTTACGGAGCCCTGGCTTCATGGCCACATGCTTTGATGTGATCTTCTTCACGCTAAAATGATCACATTAAAATTAAGGTTGCCTTCTGGCATGCATTCCTTCTTGTTAAAATTTTTACGTTTTTAAACATTAATATCGCGTTGTTCTAAGTCTTTATTTGTCATTCATATGCACATTTGTGGAGCCCCTGCTCTGTGACAAGCACTGCTGTGGATGTTGGAATGGGGAGGAATTGGGATGTTGGGATGGGGAGGAATTGGGATGGATAAGTCCCTGCTCTCATGGCGTGTGCGTTCTGCTGGGTGGAAAATGGCAAATATGTGAACAAAAACCCAGTGAGTACGGAAGCACAGCTTCTTCAAGAGATGGAATGAAAGCAGGGATAGCTGGGGGTCGTAGCGACAACAATCCAGAGAGGAAGTCAGGAATCAGGCAGGTTGGGGCTTGGTGAGAATTGTCGACTTCGTCCTACCTTCATTTTTATTCTGACGTTACTTCCAGAGTGTTTTCCCCATACTGTTAAACTGTTTTTATAAATATCCTCTTTACAGTTGCATGAAAGTCTGTCAGGTGGATTTAACAGTCACTTCTGTACCCAGTGGTGGATATTTAGATCGTTGGCAGTATTTCATTGTTATAATTATGGCCATGAACATCTGTGTGCACATTTAAGAGGGTTTCTTGTTTGGGGTTAGCTCCTTAAGGATGAGTTCTCAGGCGTGGAATTACCGATTGCCAGGTATTGTGGTTTATGAGGGGTCCCAGTAGAGTACAGTTGAGGCCAAAATATTATTCTTGTTATTGCAGATAGCCAAGCTGAAAGCCATAGCTTAGTGTGAGGGCTAAATGGGCCTCTTTATAGATCCCAGATTCAGGCTGCAGCAACAGGTTATTGACAGAATTGGGTCTGGACTACCTCTCCTTGCAGAGGTGGCCCTTGCCTTGAATGCCATGGAGGAGCAGTAGAGACAGGATGAGTTATGTGAGTGGACAAGAGAAGGAGGACAGAACGGAGCCAGGATGTCGGGTTATTCTTCTCAAGTTCGTCAGCTAGTCAATCAATCAACTAACCATCACTCTACCTGCCTGGAGAAGTGAGTACAGGAGCAGAGCGTAACTGGAGTGACCCTGCGTTCCCCTCCCTGGAAGGAAACATGAAGAGAGAAAAACAAAAGTTCCTAATCAACCTTTTTGAAAGTTTTTGATACATATCATCTGAAGCTCAATTCAAGTAGATACGGTGCATACAATGTGGTACAGTGAAATATGTTCAGGCTATTCTTTGGTGATTTTTATGCATATCTGTTCTTATATATAAACATGTAAACACATTTCTTTGATTTTTTAAATATTATAGGTGCAGAATGTAAGAATTGTGACTTCTTTGTTTTGTGTCGAGTGTACTGACATTGCTGATACACTGTTTCACTGAGTTATATTTTTGATTTTGTAGAATAATGCAACCATCATGTATGGTGTTGAGTCTGTATATTCAGTTTTTTTAAGTACAGATTTTTCCATTTCAACCTTTAACACCTGAATTGCCACAGACTTCGCTGGAAATAAGGTTTTTATAATGAGGGCTCTGTATTCAACCTAATATTCTATTGTCTGAATTTTAAAAAGTTTCTTTTTATATCATGTGTCCAAGGTGGAAACTGTACTGTTTAATTCCCAGTGGCCTATTAGATTAGCATGTTCCTTTAGTAATAATTTCCTCGTATGACCAGAATGAACCTGAAATCAGTAAATGGAGGAGAAGGAGTTAACCCCACCCCCAAATTGTTCTGCTTTGCAAGAGGCAGTGAATGTTGAATATAATTGATACTAATAATGATTAAGAAAATGGGATCTCTGAGAGTCTCTGCATCCCTGCAAATCAGTATCATTGGCCATGTTTTGACTTTATCTCTTTTATTGCATAGTATGTTTTTGCTCAATTTTGATATTAGCATTTCCTGATGCCTCTGAGCTGCTTTTTACTTTCACAATTTATAACAGAATAAATAATACCTGTGTTATTGAGAGAAATCCTGGGCAGACAATACTGGATGATCTAATTAAGGTATTTTTGAAAGGTGTAGGAAATATGTTTTGTTAGCACTATGAAATATGTCACCAAAATGGGAGCATAACCTAACTTAAAATGAGCACAGTTGAAGGCTGTCGCACTGTGGAAGCCCACCTCAATTTGACCTTCCTGCACAGCATACAACTGGGGGCTCAAATGACATTTAGAGACTGAATCCAGAGCTCTGCTCACAGGCAGAATAAAGTACATAGATTCATGGTTCTTCTCTTTTAAATGTCTCCAGAGGACATTATACATCCCCTAATTTCCCTTATTAAACATTTGAGTGATAAGCAACTGGCTTTTATTAGCCTAAACTAAAAAATAATTGATTAGAAATCTTCTTCCGTGTAGCTCTGACAGTTTACAGTAAGAGCTTTTTGTTGTTGTTGCTAATAAAGAAGTCTACTAGTTTTTTCCTATTGAAACATCACGGAAGTCAAATCTGACAAATTAATTTTAGACCCTGATGTGCCTATGCTAGTAGCAACGTTCATTTTGCATTTTGTTCAGTGTGGTTGTGTTCATCTTGGAGTGAGTAATTATTGTTAGTTGATAAATAAGATGATGATGGTGTTTTTTGAGTGGGTTTGGATGGAAGTTTTTGTGTAGTTGGCCCAGTCTGCTGAGTTTGCATGCTTATAAATGACACCCTGTGAATAGATATCCTTTGAGTCGTCACCATCAGGGTGAATGAAAAGCTGTCGTAATGAAAGCGGACATGAGAGTCGGTTGTTCTTTGGAGAGATGTAGAACCAGAGCCGTGTATCTCATCCCGTTCCTCAGTAAGTTCCTGCTTCTTAGCGATTCTAAGATAGTTCTGTTACCTTTGTGTAGCGAACTTGATGCACAGCTTGATGTTGCTGGATAGAATAACTTAATTGTATCTACGTGGGTCATTTATTTATTTTCTCGGTCAGTCAATAGTCATTGAGCACCTTCTCAATAATAACTGAGCCCAGTTTTGTTCCAGATGCTTGGGAGGCGGCAGGGACAGAAAATCCCTGCCTGCACGGAGCTCGCGAGAGGATGGTGGCAAGAAACAAATACGTACAATATACGAATCCTAGGTTGGAGTTAAGTATTAAGGAGAAGGAAAAAACCAAGAAACTGGGAACAGAGAATGCCAGCATAGGGGAGGGGGTCACCGTTTTGAGGAACATGGTTAGAGAAGCCTTCTCTGAGATGCTGATGGTTGAACAGTCCTGAAAAAAAAAATAAATGAGAGCAAGCCAGGCAGAAATCTGGGGGGAAGTTTGGAGGAAGAGCAAAGATATAGTTGTGGGGTGGCGGCCTGCCTGAAGGTTTCTGTAGAGTCAGATATTTATGGCAGTAAGTAGGGATGAGGTTGGAGAGCTGATGGCGGGGGCGGCATCGGAGTGGATCATGATGAGCTTAAAGGCCAGTGAGTAAACCGGGAAGCCAGTGAGCAGAGGAGCAACATGCTGTGGTTTAGGTTTTTAAAGGGACACTCCGGTAGCAGTACAGACTACGAGGAGGCTAGGGGGGAGGCGTAATCCAGGAGAGAGATGGCGCTGGGGTGGACCAGGCGTTCACAGCGGAGAGCGAGGAAAGTGGTCAGACTGTGATGGCATTTTGAAGGTAGAGCTAACAGGATTTGATAGACTAGAAGGAGAGTGTGAGAAAAAGAGAGAAACACAGGCTGACTCCATGGTTTTGGACCTAAACAGTGGAAAGAATGGAAGTCTCATTTACTGAGAAAGTGAAAATGGAGGGAGGACCTTGGTGGCTATTGCTGTGTTTCTTGTTCACTTGCTACACCCATGCGTTTTTTTCCCCTTTTTCATATTTGCTTTGAACACTGTAGCAGAGCCTTTGACTTGAGCTTTTTTTTTTTTTAGCTCTCTTAAATATGGTGAGTAAAATGCACAGAGTAAAAACTTTAATTTATTCACGGTAACATTGAGGGAAAATAAAGTGTACTTTAAAAAAATGGTTTGACAACTAGACCTGAAAAAGAAATAACCATCACATCACGATTGTTCTGGTAACAAGTCTGCAGTCCGAGAGGTCAGAAATGTAATGGAGATACAGCACTTACACTGAGTTGAAAGGCAGGGTGTTTCTTCTTTCTCAGTAATGTGGCCCAGAGCTGAGTGGCATGGGTGTCACGTGGAGATGTGACATTTTCACAGAGCTGAGCGAGGTCTTGTAAATTAGTTTCTGAGTGTGTCCACGCCTACGAAACAAGTTGATTCATTCCCTTTATTGTCCACTTTAATCCCTTCTACTTTTAACTCCACCATACGCAAGTGAATGTATTTTTCTAGTCCCTCTCATGGAAAACAGGAAAAACATAAAAAAGCACCCACTGCATGGACCTAATTGATTTATTTTTACCAATAATTGGAAAATGAATTTGGATAACCTACTTAAGGAGTTACTCATGTTTTCCTAATGATATATTCACTATGCTTGCATTTTAATATATTATGTACATAATTTGAAGGTACTTATTCTGAACATTAATTAAAAAGATTATATTTTTCAGTGCCCACCAAATCTTCATAAACAAGATGGATATGCATGCAATCAAAATCAGGTATGCCGGGCTATAGATTTTAAACGTGATTTTTAAAAGATTAGTTTTCAAGTTGTTTTTTTTTTCTTTTTGATAACTGTAATTTTGACGGGAAATTGCAACTCAAACAACAGTAAATTATTGCAGTGGTGTAATTCAGAGTTGCTTCGTATGGTCTAAAATACTATACATATTGTATTTGTCTCTGGTGACAAACTGCCCAGATTGAGGGTGAGGAAAAAAATACAATGGCTGAAGAATTAGGAATCTAATTTATTGAGCTGTGACCATCTTTAATCATTTCAGCCTGCCTGTTACCGGAAAATACGGCGATCTGTTGTCACGTGGTTGTTTTTTTTCCCCTGAAGCCATGTTCTAACCTAACCATTCACATGCAAGTGAACCTAAAAATCATTTTGGTAGCACCCAAAGAAATGTAGCAATTTTTGTTTTCTGTAAGATTTAAAAATTTAGATGAGTAGTTTGGAGTTAAAGAGCCGTATTATGAGATCTGTGTTTCTGGTTCTGTCTGTTACTCGTCTGCTTCTCTTAAGATGTTTGTGATGCTAAGTTTCACTGTGAAAATATTAGGGAACCGAATGAAAAAGAAAACAAACCTTGCCTAAAGCAATGAAGAGGGAACCTTGCAGTGAGAATCTGGGGGGAAAGGGAACGGGCTCGGTGGGCCTCATAGCGTGTGTTCTGTCCCCAGGGCCGCTGCTACAACGGGGAGTGCAAGACCCGGGACAACCAGTGTCAGTACATCTGGGGGACAAGTAGGTCGTTCTTCCTGCTTGCCGCTCACACACAGGCTTCTCCTAACATTAGTCTCTGCTGCCCGTCTTGCTGACAGAGATGTACATCTTGGGGTGATTTTTTTAATTTTTTAATTCAGAAAAGGCTGAAGAGAACAGTGAATCTTAGTCACAAAACCACAGCCAAACACATGCTGACGTGGGGGACTCGTCATCAGTGTCGTCCTGTGACTGAGGCTGTGAGAGAAGGGCTGTTCCATCCACTTGCAGAGGTTGGGTTGACTGCAGTGGTCTGCTGGTTACTCAGCCGCTGGGGTGATTCTCTTTGTACTTTGGGTTTCACATTCGCCCCTCAAGTTAGCTTCCTGTTCTTTTCCCCCAGGGATTTGCCAGACTTTTTTTTTTTTCTTTCAATTCTGTAATTGATTATCTCAGTTTGAAGTGAAGAAACACAAGTACTCCCTGAGATGCAGACAGAGATTTGAGTACACGGTCAGGCGCTTAGTACCTCCTCTCCGTGTTAGTACGTGGTCTCTTCCTGACGTCTGCGGTGCCTCGCCAGTGAACTTTGGGTCACCAGGGCCAGACCGGAAGAGAGAGAAATGGTTTGTTCTGCCTCACCGGCAGAGGCTGGGTCACCCCACAGCACACTGAAGGAGACTAGGAGACCCATGCACAAGTGATTTCAGTGTTTGGAAAACATCATTTAACTGAAAGATTTACTTTCAGTGCTTCAGTTTTGACAAGGGAAAGATAATAGAGACATATTTGTCTTTTAAAAAGGTTTAAGTATCAAAATTCATGTGCCAACAGAAAATCTCAGTGAGCTAAGACTTTGTAACGCTTCCTGGTACATAGAAAGCAGAATTAGGCGTGTTTATTAGTTTTCTGTATGTCATTTCACTAAAACCTGATTAATCCCACGTCCCACCCTCAAACCCACCAACATTGGAAATAAATGTCTCCCAAGCTAAAAAGAGTGGTATATTGGAGCTGTCTTGAATTAGCTTTCAAAGGCCATTTGTTAGATTTTCAGAAATTTTTGAGTCCAGTCAACATCACATTCGTAGTTTGCAATTAGCTATGTGTTACACCGTAGAAACTGGCAAATGCCACACACATCAGGAATTTTTTTCCCCTTTTTCTGGAGAACCAGTTGTTAAAATATTCACTGGCACATGACTGGTTAAGGGTAACACAGAGAACTAAGATTAATTTTCTTTTCTTGCTCCTCTCCAAAAGAGGCTTCAGGATCTGACAAATTCTGTTATGAAAAGCTGAATACAGAAGGCACCGAGAAAGGCAACTGCGGGAGGGACGGGGACCGATGGATCCAGTGCAGCAAACAGTGAGTGGTCAGCTCTGGGGCCAGAGCAGGCGGACTGGGGGCCCCTGGTTCAAATGCAAAATGAGCATGAAATAAATATTACTGTTTTTTTTAAATACATGTTTGACTACCTAACATTTTAAAGTATGGATTTGAAAACCAGGTTAGCATAGCTGGAGGCAGATGGCTGTGAACTAAACTGTTTCTCTGACACAGATTCACACCATTTCTGTAAAACTCAGGAACGTTCTCACATGCTGAACGTTACTTGAAGCTTGTTTTGAAGAGAGACTTTGCCAAGGCATTTTAAATTAATAGTGTGTTTTAATTTTTGACTTTGGCTAGCAGAAAAGGCCTATGAATGTACTAATACACATAGAGTTCTATGAACAAAATATGCGGACTGTATATATTTTGGGAACCATTTAAAGTGAAATAATATCTATTTGATTATTTCTCTAATGTAACAAACACCATTTGATTTAATGAAACATCTAGTGTCTATATTAGAGATTGTTTTCCCCCTTCTAGAAATATGTGAGAATATATTGGAGGCATCTTCACTCAGGCATCTGTGTACTTTTGGAACACACTGGTTATATTTTCCCTTGATTTGTTCAGGAAAGTTAAAATTGTGCTTTAATAGTTTGTTAAGGTTAATTCAATGACTCAGATCTATTTTATAGTATTAGTAATACCATTAAGTGATGAGCCAAAGTTTTTAAAGTGGAGCAAGGACTTAAGGGAAGTTTTATTTCTCTAGTTAATGATCTTTGATGTTGTACTTTATGGAACTTTGCAATTCTGTGTAGTCTTTGATGGTGGATAAGGCCTTGGGAGGCAACAAATCTTTGACTTCTTTAAAATTAAACCAAAATAACACAACAGAGCTTCCCATCTGATGTCTCATGAGTGAGGTATAGATGTTCTGAGATGTTCAGTCCTTGAGGTGCCAGGGAGAAAGTGGGGCACCTAAAATAGTCAAAATCCATGGGGTTGGATGCCTCTGGATTTAATTAACTCCAGTCATTAAGTCAGTGTCATAGATAAATCTGATCATTTCTCTGTGACTTCAGAAAGATGGGAGGCGCTGGCTTAGATCATTACAGAACATAGCTTTTGAAGATCTGGTAATAGAATAACCAAACACTAATGAGTTAAGGAAAATAAATGCATGTTTTTTAAACTTCAGAAACTGGGAAACATGACATAGAAACAAAAAAGTGATTTATACACAAATGCATATTTTACCAAATAATTCCAGAGTGAACTCTCATGTAACCCCTACCAGGTCAACAAATAGAACATTGCGGCCTCCCAGAAAGGTATTCCTCCCCCTCACAGTGCCCTCTTCTGTCTCCTGGAGGTACCGTCATCCTGATTGCGATGGCAACCACTTCCTTGCTTTTCTTTAGAGATTTACTGCCTAAGTTTTCAGCCCTAAACAGTATATTTTGCCTGAAGTTTCAGTAACTTTGTATAAAAGGAATCATATTTCATGTATTATTTTGTATTTTGCTTCTTAAGTTCATCATTTTAAGAGTTTTCCATGGTGTGTGTAGTTGTCTGTTCATATTTATTGTTCATTTATTGTATTTTCATTCATATTTATATACCATAATTTGTTTCTCCATTCTGTGTTGCTGGACATTTATTTTATTGAAGTATAGTTGATTTACAATGTTGTGTTAGTTTCTGGTGTACAGCATAGTAATTCAGTTATATATATGTATTTATTTATTCCGTTTCATATTCTTTTCATTATAGGCTGTTACAAGATACTAAATATTGTTCCCTGTGCTGTACAGTAGGACATTGTTGCTTATCTACTTTATATATAGTAGTTAGTATCTGCAAATCCCAAACTCCTAATTTATCCCTATGCCCCTCACTTACCCCCTGGGAACCACAAGTTTGTTTTCTATGTCTCTGAGTCTGTTTTATTTTGTAAATAAGTTCATTTGTGTCATATTTTTTAGATTCCGCATATAAGTGATATCATATGGTATTTTTCTTTCCCTTTCTGGCTTATTTCACTTAGTACGATGGTCTCCAGGTCGTTGATGGGCATTTGGATCGTTTCCATGCTTTGGCTATTAGGAACCCTGCTGCTGTGACCATTCGTGTACATGTAACTTAGTCCACATTTGTACACATTTTCTAAGGCCTTACCTGGAAGAAAAATTGCGAAGTCATAGGGGATGTATATTTTCAGTGCCACCAGGTGATGTGACACTGTTTTCTAAAATGGCTGTACTAGTAAACCTGCCATGGATATATATCTATATATATATTCTCATAATATATATGAGAGTTTTGTTGTACTGCATTCTCACCAACACTCTGTTACCACACATTTTACTTTTATCTATCCTGCTGTGTGTGAACTGCTCTATTATTGTGGTTTTAATTTGCATTTCCCCAATTACAAGTAGAATTTAGTACATTTTCATGTGTTTATTAGACATGGATTTCCTTTTTTGTGATGTGCCACTTCAATGTTCTGCACACTTTTTAGGAGTTCATTGTTTACTTAACAAAAACGCTAGAGGTCAGTGTCCTGGTGGTGAGTGAGTCGCTTAACAATGTTGCCGAGGACCCAGGTGATCTCTGCCCCTCTTTTCTGTAATGCTTATTAGCATGTTCAATTTGTATCTTTATGTTTGCATTCAGGATTTGATTGCAAGAGAATGCAAAAGCTCTATATGCAAAGACAGGAAGCAAGGGGTGGAGCAAAAGGTCTTCTCTCTGTCAGGCTCTAACCTTTTATCCAGTGTGCAGAACTCTCCCCAGCAGCTCCTGAGCTGACTTGTCTTCACATCTCAACACCCAGGGACCACTCTTAGCTCCAGGAGGGTGAGAAGGAGGGATGGCTAGGAAAGTGGACGTAGGGAAAGGGGGAGCCATGATGAGCTCAGACTCCAGTCATGAGCCATCTCTCAGGGCTCGGCATTTCGCTACCCTAAATAAACTGTGATCCTGTTAGCAAAGCAGGGGATCCTCACCTACCAACGATTTCTGAACAAAAGGTTTTATTTAGAAGGAAGGGGAATAGTTCCCATTTTTAAACATGTGTGGATCAAATAGTTTTGATTTTTTTCATTTTGATTCCTCCTGTCTTGTTCTTTTTTTTTTTAACATGTTCAGTGATGTGTTCTGTGGATTTTTACTCTGTACCAATCTTACTCGAGCTCCACGTATTGGTCAACTTCAGGGTGAAATCATCCCAACTTCCTTCTACCACCAAGGCCGGGTGATTGACTGCAGGTAACATACTAAATGAATCATGAGAATTTACAAATTTAGAAAAATCGAGAGAAATGTTTCTATTTTTCATAATAGAAACGGCAACTTAGATTTTATTATTACCTTGCATGTTGAGAGTCATTTAAAAAACAAAGTTATATGTTAATTTGCAATTTACATTTGCTCAAAAATTATTAGTAGTGAGGCATTTCTTGTAATTATAATCTTAAGAGTAGAATTTTATGGTATTTATTTTGATCCATGACTAAAGTTCTGAGCATTGAAATATGTCACTATTTGAACACTGTGTGTGTGTGTGTTTTTTTGTGATAAAAGATAAAGAATTTAAGCTCTACTCTATGTAGCATGTATCTGGTTTAGAAGACATCTTAATTAATAATCACATGTAGAAAATATATAATAAAATATTACTTACAGCTGTAGTCAAACATTTGATACCCAAATATCTATGGGTACAAGGCACAGAAGATAATGAGGCTTTTTTTTAATCACCGGGAATCATACTATATTTTAAATAAACATTTCTCTCTTAAAGTAGTCATGATTCTAAGATGCTGTGCTTTCATTCAAATGATAACTTGTTACCCAGAACACTTCAGGGAATCCCCCTACACAATTGCCTTCAGGGTCCGCAACCTTTATCCTTAGTATTCCCAGAATAGCAAACCTTAATCTTGTATAAGTGAATGTAAGATTTGGAAACATCCAAAGTAATTTTGAATAAAATTTAGCAAATTGATTGGGTAATCAAATTGATAATGCTGTCCTGGTCAAATGGTTGCTGGTTTTCCTGTCTTTTAAATGATTCTAAAGGCAATTCTAATAGAGTCTAAGAAAATTAAATTCTTCCTAGAATGAATTTATAGTCTACAAATCTAGTTACTTGGATGCACAGAAGCTTCCTTTGAATGTGTAAGTTTTCACACATCTTTGCATATAACAGTCTTGTTAAATTATATTATTATATTCTAAGCTAGTATATTTAAAAATATTCAGCAAGTACTTAATTAGTAATTATAATATTAATTATTATTCAAATTCATGTTGTCCTTAACTTTGAAATTTTAGAAGTAAATATCAATAGAGGACCTGGCTTATTTTTTTCATTCATGATTAGCCCAAGTCCTGTAAAGTAATAATAATAATTTTCAAAATATTTTCATTTGCTATTTGTGCTCAACACCTGCCTTTTTGTATCATGACACATGTGAAAGTCCTGGAGACCTAATGATAAGATTGCCTCTCTTGGTCTTATACACACCTCTCTCCTTGTAATGTTGGTCTTGGAAATAAGTGAAGATTTAGAAAAGACTTTGTGCAAATGACCTTTTTTTTTTTTGATGAAGCGCAGTGTAATAATAATAGTGAAAGTTTCTTTTGTCATGCTCTTTTATTAAGGGGAGGTGAGGAAAAGGTGAAAGGAAATTGGAGAAATGATAGGAGAAATCATGTCCACTGGCAACCTCTATTCATGTTGATGGGATATTTCTAGGTGTGGTACTAATGGTTGTACGACTGTCTTTCCCCTTTAGTGGTGCTCATGTGGTTTTAGATGATGATACAGATGTGGGCTATGTGGAAGATGGAACACCATGTGGCCCGTCTATGATGTGTTTAGATCGGAAGTGCCTACAGATTCAGGCCCTAAATATGAGCAGCTGCCCACTCGATTCCAAGGGTAAAGTCTGTTCAGGCCATGGGGTAAGTGGTCATGAGTGGTCCATCTCAAATCTTCATTGTCTGGCATCCTCCAAGTTCACAGTGGTTAGACTTCCACTCTTAGCCATTCTCTTTCTGTTGCTGTTGTCAGCATCTATGCACTTGACTATGGTTATTTCCTTAGTACCCTTATCTGTACACCTGTATGTGTTGATATGGTTTTTATTTTTGTTGTTTATTTTATCACTGGCTATTTGTGTTCACCGCATTCTTTAGAGATAACTTGGCACCCAAGGAGTTGAAAGAAAATTGATAACAATTCCTAAAGAAACTGTGGACCCCATGTGATGACTTTACACCATTCACAGTAGTTTACACCCTCTCAGTAATTCCCTTTCGGCATATTGAGCCTCTGTGTGTGCAAGATCACGCTAGATTAGAGGTTGGATCGCTGATATAATTTACATGTTTAAAGTTGTATGGTTATGCTTGGACCACTGCCAGCCAAAGAGAAGATGTGCTCTCTACCCACACCTCGTGTATCTTTAATTCTATGCACAAAATATTTGGGCATATACCTCCTGGCAAACCGAAGTTTAATATCAAAAAGCACATTTGAATAATTAAATTGGGTCTAGGATAAGAAAGATATTTCAAAATGTATGCAGGCTTCAGATATGGAAAAAAGAGACATGGAGAAACTCGGAGTGATAATATAAAAGGAAGATGCCACAATGGAGGTAGAACTAATCCAAAACATAGACAGCTAAACATGTGCTATGTCACAGAACAAGGTGGAAAGACCTAAGAAGCTTATGACCGTTAAGACCTAAAAGCCCAGTGACTCTTGTTTCAGGTTTTGTTGAAGTCATGGGCTCACAGGGAGGCAGTATAGTCTAGTGACCAAGAACATGGCTTTTGTGCCTAGAAAGAATCATGGATTTGAATCCTGGTTCTCCTTCTTGCTTTCTCAGTGACTTTGGGCAAGTCACTTAAGCTCTCTCAGCCAACAGGGTGCTAGTGTGAGGATTAAACAAGATGCTATACACAAAGCACTGAACGTAGGTACCTAGGGCACAGTAAATGTTCAGTAATTGTTACATTAAAATAAAAGCACTGGGCAGACCACTCAGTTACTTCATTACTACTCTGAAAGCATTCTAAGACCTAACACATAAAAAGATCCTGGGTTCTCCGCTACCCCTGCCACTTTTTCATCTTGTTGAATAAAGGTCATATTCAGCCTTGTTAGTAATAATCATGGTATTATGTCATTTCAGATTAAAAAGCGTCTTATACCAATAAGCCTGAATTCGATTTTATCATCTCTCAATAATGTCTCTGAACGTATTTCATAGGCAGCGGAGGCTTTAAACCACTCTGTCTCCAGTTTATGGATGGCTATGTATTTTATCTAAATTATATGCCCATTCCAGAATGCTGCTTGGTCCCCAGAGGAAAAGAGAGGGACAGAGATCATTCTAGGGTGTCCTCAGTCTGGCTGACTGAGAGGGAAGTGATATCACAGGCAGGCAGGCAAGGTGGAAGTGGTGCTTGTTTGGCTGGGAAGGTGCCACCTAATATTTTGTGTGGACATGATACAGTAATGCAATGCATTGGTGATGTATGTCTCCCGGTATTTAACCTCTGGCCATGCCCCTTAAACCTAGTATCTGTCAATTTCTTGAATTAAACATACATGTTTCTAAATTTTGTTTCTAGAAACAATTACCTCTGAAAAAACTACATTGTCAGACACTTGCGTACTTAATGTCAATGTGACTAGTTAATATTTAATTTAAAATTTCTTCCTCTTAATCTTTATTTTTCTATAATTAACTGAAAAAAATCATTGAACTGTTGGATCTATACATTGTTTCCCCTTGTCTAATATTCAAAACCATGGGAGACTTTAAAAGTTCCAAATGGTTTTTAAAGCCTCTATCCTGTCCTGTGTCTCTTGCATTTATTACCATTATTCTACCAAGTGTAGTGAAAATGCCCCATCTCTGTTCTTTATCCTTCACAGGTGTGTAGTAATGAAGCCACGTGCATCTGTGATTTCACCTGGGCAGGCACAGACTGCAGTATCCGAGATCCAGTCAGGAACCTTCACCCTCCGAAGGATGAAGGACCCAAGGGTTTGTGCGATTTCGGTTCCAATTCCTTGTATACCGAACTCATTGGTACTCTTCCAGTGGTGTCAATATGATAACTTCATATATTTGAAAGGAGACACACGAGAATACTTTTTTTCACTATTAAAATGTATGATTCACATTACTGTGGAATTAAGGGTTCTTGTACATGACATTGAAAAAAATGTTTGAATTACCCTTTAGTCTAGAACTGAGATTAGGAAGAAGTAAGTATACCAATTTCCTTTCTTCTAGTTCCATTTTTTCTTTTAAACCTCATTCTTTATCCACAATCACAAATGTTAATCATTTTATAGTTTGTCTAAGCTATGCCAGTTTTTAAAATAGATAAATTCTTTTTCACTGACATGAGACGCTGGTCATTTCTCAATACTTGAATCCTTCTGGAGGGAAGTTGTAGTCTTCCATGTCCTGTTTAAGTATACTTTTGACGAGGAAGAAATTGAAATTCTTCACAGAACTTTAATTCTTTAAAGAAAACATGGACTATCTGGACCTTTGTTTTAATCACCTATTAAAAGGAGAGAAATCAGAATTTTAGAATAAGAAAGAGTCTCAGTGGTCATTTAGAACCACTGTCATTTTGTGAATGGGAACTCTCCGTCCCTGAGGTCAGGTGACATACTGTGGTTACCCAGGAAACCAGAGGCAGAGCTGGGAACAGGACTCAAATGCCCAGTTTCTTCTGTTACATCATGTTGTAATGTAGTCTGTGTCATCATGAATATGGTAGTCACTTTCTCATTATTCTCCCCATTCCCAAACCCTTATATAACTTTCAAAGATCTAGAAAAGACATCAGTTATAGTAGGCTTACTACAGCATCTACAGCCTTGTGCCTGAGAAATCAAAATATTACTGGAATGAATGCTGTGCACCAATGACATTGTACATTAGGTTCTTCTTTTTCATGGTACTGCTAACAGTATTTTATAAATAGCTATCATGCTTTTTTCCTGCAGGTAGGAAAAATACATACAGAAATAGTGTCATTTTGATCTGCTTTAGTTTTGGATGAAAGCTCCTTTAAACTCTCCAAACTGCAGTATTGTCCATATGGGAAACTATGACTTCGAAAGCATATGAAATGCCATAGACCTCAGTTCCTGAAGAGATTTAGGCTGATCCGCGTGCATGTGTCATGTTCAGTAGGAGTGGGTGTGTGTGTTAAAACACTTTTCATGCATTTGCTTAATATGCCCATGATATTAAAATTCTGTAAGAATTGCAAGCACACCCTCACAGTCTATTTCTGTTCTCCTTCTGTCTCTGAAAAGGAACCAATGCCACCTCTACATTTAGTCTTTTGTTACTTTAAAACTAGTACAAAGAATTCTCGGATCTACCTTCAGAACTTAGAAAAGATTTAGGTTCTGACAAGAAAAGGAGAGATTCATTCTTTCCAAATTTTCTCTCCATAGCATGTCTGTGATTCCCTTAAAGATCTGGATGCTGTTTTCTCGAGTGATATGCAAAGATGACTGAACAGAGGAGCAGAAATCAATTGGCTTAGACTATGTCCTTTTGCATTAGGTAGGGCAGGGGATTGTTAATTGTCTGATTCTATCTAGTCGCCATTCCTTCACTCACGCATGCCTAGAAACTTACTTGGAGGCACAAAGCAAACAGCTATGTTCTGGAGAAGAGAATACTCACAGCTGCCTTTTGTTTTGTTTTGCTTTCTCCCCATTTAATGTGGTGCTTTTCTTCCTTATTGTCTAAAGGTAACTTCTTTGATCATTCAAATAATACGTGTTTCTTGTAGAAAATTTTGAAAGTGCAGAAAAGGTCAAAAAGAAGACTAAACTCAGTCAATCTCATAACTCAGAGGTAATCAATATTAGCATTCTGGTATATTTCTTTCCTGTTGCATATTTTCTTTTTTCATTCTTAATGAAGACGGTAGAGTCATTTGAGTAAACCTACCCATCGGTTCTAAAATTGTTAAAATCCTCCTTAATCTCTAATAATCTTGATTCATTTGAAAAAAGCCATTAACTGATATAAATGACGAATAGTTATTATTATAAATTATCAGATTTCCAAAAAAGCCAAGCAATTTAAGAACAACTAAATAATAGCTATCTATAATGGTTATTTATATCTTCCCAGCCTCTATAGAAAACTCTGTTAATAAACCAGGAAAATGGGAAATGACAGAAATAAACATTTAAACATTTTGCTGTAGATTTTATAATTTTAATTTTGATATTCTGGTTAAAGGAAGATGATAAGAGACACACTATGTACTTTACTTCTGTTTTTCAGTCCAGATAGCAAATATTTATTGATTCTCTACTATTTAAAAGTCAGCACATCCTTGCACATAGTAGGCACTCAGTAAACATCACATCCCTTCCCTTTGGGAATATGTAAAGAAAATGAAATGGCGCATGTTGGTGCTGATTTTCAGTTTATCAGTATCCATTTGTTGTAGTGCCTTGCTGAAGAGTAACAGATAATGAACTCAAAATATTGGAACAAGCAGTACCTCCTTGACTGTAGGTTCAGCACCTGTGTGAGGTGCCAAGGTTTTCCTCTATAACTTCTTGCTGTACATTCCCTCTTATGTTTGAATTGGTCTGGTTGGCACGTGCCTTACTGAGCACAGTGTTTGGACCCTCCCTAAATGCTTGCCATATATAATGAGCAACACCCACAAGGATCTGACCTGTCATACTGTAGGTGAAGGTTTTTCTGTGTAGATACAGTGAGCAGGCATCAGAAAATACTTAGTTTTATTTCATTTCAATGTACTTCCTTGTTAAGAAGAAAAAAATTTAAGAAGCAAAATGAAAATGTTAATCATGAACATGGCTATAACAGATAAGTTGTACCCAACAGCATCCCCTTGGATCAAGATCAAATTTGTAAAAAGAAATAAAGGGGAATTCTGTGACTCTGTTTGCATTGATTTGAGGAAGTCAGAAATGAACCAGGGTATTTTGGGTATTTCTTTCCTTTGAACTATAAGTTTCTGGAAGAATAAAGATTCAACCTCTCCATCTGGGTAGGGATGTAAGACACACGTGAAAGTATTGCCATTGAAGGCACTCTGCATTCGCTGAAGTTGTACACTGTCGCCCTACTGTTCAAAGCATGCTAGGTTATCTGCTCCAATTCTCAAATCAAAATTATTAAAAGACCAGAAATTGGTTCTCAGAGCAAAAACCACATGGGCAAAGCAAATCTTTTAAAAAAGATTTTGTATCACAAATTACTTCCTTCGTGTTTTCTCCATTGTCATTTATTTTACATACAAAGACTCTTCTGATCCTTCTTCTCCAGACTTATTTCCACTGAACTCCCTGAAACAAATTACTTTGTTTTGTTCTACAAGGGTAGGATATGTTTGAACTCAGTTTAAAAGACCTAGAATTTCCACCTGCTGTAGGGAGAGCCATGTCAAGTAACAGTAATTTTTGTGATGTGTAGGCATCTTTGCATGGTGCTTATTGTGGAATACAATGGAATTTTCCTCATTGGATGGTTTGCAGCATCGTTATGAAGGGAGGAGAGAAACTGGAACATATCAACATTGATATATGTAAGGGCAAAAGCTTTAGTCAGACCCTTTCATCATGACCAGAGTCACCAAATCAGAGCTAGAGAGGCCTTAGTGGCAATTCAGTTCAGAACCACTGTTTTTCAGATAAGGAACCTAACTTCATTATCAGGGTTAACGGCTAGTTAGGCATCGAGTCAACAGTAAAACATAGATCACGGGATCTTAAGCCCCATGTTTTTTCCTGTTATTGCACACTGCCTGAGTTAGAGCTGGGTGTTAAGTTATTCCGCTGTATCTGTAGCACAGTAATAAGTAGGAAGGGTGAAACAATAACCAAGTAATGATTAAGCTTACTAGCTGATCCATTACTTGTCAAAGGAAGTATTATATTATTAACATTTAGCATCTTGAAAACAATTATTTCTAAGTCTTACTACCTTGAGGAGTGTTATTTAGTGTTTACATTTACCTTTTGCATATTTCTTTTTGTACACTTCCTTTGGAATGCACGAATCTTTGATTTTGTAGTTCAGATGATTACGAGATGTTATGATTATCATATACAATTGTGTTCACGTGTAATTCACCTTGGTATGTTTCTCATTACCAATGGCCTTGTCAATAACTTAAGGATTTGCTAAGTTTAAAATTTTTTTGATAACTGTGAGTTTATTTTATATGAGTTCAGAAAAACTCCATGATTTTTTCACTGACAGCATAAACTGACTGAAATAATATTCTTTTATGAAATAACTTGGCTTTCATCCCAGTGTATCCAGAAATGAACTTAATTTTTAAAATTTTATCAAAAAGAGTAAGCAGATCTGATTGTATGTCTAAATATTGAAATATAGGGCCAGATAAAATATGTTTGTCATGCTAATATTATACTCTAAAGCATAAAGAGTATATTTAGTATTTATTTCTAGTCTTAAATTTTAGCAAAAAAAAAAAATTCTCTGCAGAAAGAACTTTGGTCCATAGAGTACAAATGATGGCTTTGATGGTCCTGCCTTTGAAGTATTAAAGGATGCAGGATTATAGCCCCTTTTGGTTCATTGGAATCATATGGATGAAATTATGCACCTTTTGTTTCGGAAACTCTCTAAAAGTAAGAAAAGAAAAAAGCCAACCTCTCAGTTTCAAAAACACGATTTTAAAGTATCTGAAACATGACTTGTCTGTGCAAGAATTGTACATACAAAGCAGGAATTCCTAAGAAAAGGAGAAAATTCATGGTTCATTTCTTGATATTATATACGTCTCAAAAATTCTATCTTTTAGCACGTATGACCCTAGATAGCAGGAACCAAGACTGCTACTACTTCTACTAATAATAATAAACCAACAAACAACAGAAATATGAAAACGTACTGCTAAGTAATGAACAGTTTCCTCAAACAAGCTGTCAGGAAAGGTAAGTATGTTAAAGAGTTAGGGAGTAAAGTTAAGTTCCTACTAAGAAGACAGTGTT